GGAGGGGGAGGAGTGGGGGAGGGGGAGGAGTGGGGGAGGGGGAGGAGAGGCGGAGGGGGGAGGAGAGGCGGGGTGGATGGAAGGGGAGGGAGGATTCCTAGAAACTGGGAAACAACCAGGAACGTCCTTAGATCCCAGGGTGGCTGTGGGGGGCCCACAGCCAAGATCAAACCAGGCAGTCTCAGGCCAGCCCCCAAGCCTCAGTTTCCCTTTCTGTGAAATGGGTGTGACAGCAGCACTGCTGAATAGGGTCACAGGGTGGCATGAGGGAGATGAGGCAGGTGAGGATTGAGCCTGCACAGGGACCAGATCATTCGCTGTGGTGGGGGGCTGTCCTGTGTGCATCACAGCACCCCTGGCCTCCACCCAGAAGCCAGGGGCACCCCCCCCCCGCCACAAGTCGTCACAACCAAACATGTTTCTGGGCATGGTCCAGTGTCCCCTGAACTACCCTGGGTGGCAGCCACAGTACTAGAAAATTCTCTGTAACAGGGTCTGCAGCTTCCCGGACCAAACCAGCTCCCGCTTCCAGTGGCATTGACCCCAGTTCTAAGGGAGGCCGTGAATTAAGCTCATTAAACCCTCGCAACAACCTCCTGAAGGCGGACATAGTCATCGTCCCACTTTGTGGAGCGGCAGACTGAGGCACAGACAGTCCCGGTAAATTGCTCAAGTCACACATGTAGGGCTTGGGGCCACCTCCCTGACCTTCTGCAGGTCCCACAGCAGTGGGGGTGCCTCCTCCTCAGGGGCCTGAGGCCCCCGCCCCCACACCCCTTCTTTCGGGCAGCTGTGACCACTGCATTTGTGTGTGTCTTCTGCTTCACGTTGTGTCCCCTCCCCTCCCTCCAACTAGGTGACAGTCCTAAACCCCAGGACCTTGGAATGCAACCTTATTTGGAAATAGGGTCATTGCAGAGGTGGTGAGTTAAGATGTCACGCTGGAGCAGTCCCCTGTGGACCCAATAAAAAGGGAAAGCTGGACGGACACACACGGAGAAGCCAAGGGATGATGAAGGCAGAGAGATCGGGGTGACGCTTGGACAAGCCAAGGAACACGCAGCATGGCCGGCGACCCCCAGGAGCTGGGAGAGCCTGGCGCTGATTCTCCCTCAGGACCACGGAAGGAACCAGCTCTGATCGAGTCCTTGTTGTTGGACTTCTAAGCCCCAGAACTGGGGCGCAAGACACTTCTGTTGTTTTAGGCCCGGGCTTTGTGGTGCTTTGTTTGAGCAGCTCTAGCGGCTAATGCAGTGCGTGCACGTGCACGTGCACGCGCGTGCGCGTAGGAAAAGTTTTAGTAAGAAGTGTTAACCAGCTGGTGATGGGGAATATGGTGTGAGTACCGTGGCCTTACCTACACTAATTTTGTACAAATGAAATGAATTTGCACAATATTTGCAAAATAACATTCATTTCACAAACAGAAGTTTAAGCCATCCTTAATGGATCTCGTATTTCTGGGACTGCAAACTGGGACTCCGTACCAGGCTTCCTACTGTACAAATTTCCAAGTGAGGCACAGAAATGAATGCAGAGAAACTAAAATGAAATTTATGACCTTAGACAGCTGTGGTTACTGGTTTTACTGAGGGCTAGGTATTTTTTTTAAAGATTTTATTGATTTATTTGAGAGCCCTTTGCGGGGCTCAATATCATGACCCTGAGATCATGACCGAAGCTGAAACCACGAATTGGACACATAACCGAGCCCCCAGGCGCCC